TTGATTTGTTTCCATTTCGGTGGGATTTTATCCTCCTACATATAAAGTTTCTTTCTTTCTTTTTTATCGATACTCGATCATTACTTTGGGGTTTATTCTGATAAAAAAATGGAGGAGAAGAACAAAGATAAGGAGAGAAAATCGTTTACATTCGAAGACGAGGAAGAAGAAGATCTAGAAAATAGCAGTAAGTACGAGAACGACAGTGACACTGATGATCAAAGCGATATCGGAGATCTTCCTGGTGACGATGATAACGATGACCCTTTCATTTCTCAGGTTCAATGGCCTCAAAGCTTTAGGTAAAAAGCTCAAATCTTTTCTTTTAAAAAACTCATTTTTTTACCAATACCCATCTGATAAATGTTCTGTAATTCTCTGAGATTTTGTGTTTTTGTGGTTTCAATTAGGGAAACGACTGATTCTTATACGATTGCTGCATCACCAATCTTTGGGTCTCTCAAGAGTAATCCAAGTTTTTACAGACAGAGCAAAAGTAATCTAGATGTTGAATCTAAAGTCCCTTTGCTCCCTGAGAGAAACGAAGAACCAGACAAAGCTTCAGCTACACAATCAGTTTGGTCTCATAAAGGCTCATTTGCTGAAGAATTACCCATTGGTGGTTATGGATGCAGCTTCACTCAAACCATTTTCAATGGTATGAGCCTTTTAGTGGCCTTAATTAAGAAAGAAATATGTGTTAACTTTGTATTGGTTTTTTTAACACAGCGATTAATGTAATGGCTGGAGTTGGACTTTTATCAACACCTTATACTGTGAAAGAAGCTGGTTGGGCAAGTATGGTGATTCTTCTCATGTTTGCGGTTATTTGTTGTTACACTGCTACTTTAATGAAAGATTGTTTCGAGAACAAATCCGGTATTATCACTTATCCTGATATTGGAGAAGCAGCTTTTGGGAAATATGGTCGTATTCTTATTTGTGTAAGTCCCTAACTTAGTCGGAAAAATCTTCCTTTTGATTAGTTTTAGAGCTTTGGATCAGTTGTTCTGTTTTCGCTACCTGCTGCATCGATAGATTTCTCATGGTTTTCTGCAATGTTTTGTGTCTTTTGTGCAGGTGCTATTGTACACTGAACTTTATGTAAGTGAAGATTTTTCTTGTTACCTGATTGAACTTATGGATCTTGGACCGACTTAAGCGTGTTCTTGTTTTGCATAATTTGAACTTACTAGAATCTTTGTCCTATTTTTGTAGTCATATTGTGTTGAATTCATCATTTTGGAAGGAGATAACCTTACCGGGCTTTTCCCTGGTACATCCATGGATTGGCTCGGTATCCGTCTTGACTCTAAACATTTGTTTGGAATTTTAACTGCTCTCATTGTTCTTCCAACTGTTTGGTTGAAGGATCTTCGCATCATTTCGTACCTCTCAGGTACAATCAACTCTTATTTTTGTATATGTAATTGATTCCTTTAGTTAAAAATCTTGAATCAGCTTCTTTGATTCCACAGCCGGTGGAGTTATTGCAACTGTTTTGATAGCAGTAAGCACGTTTTTCCTCGGGACAACGGGCGGGATTGGGTTTCATCACACCGGTCATGCTGTGAAATGGAACGGGATACCGTTTGCAATTGGTATCTACGGATTTTGCTATTCAGGCCATTCTGTGTTCCCAAATATATACCAATCCATGGCTGATAAAACCAAATTCAACAAAGCAGTGATCACATGGTAAAATCGGAGAAAACAAAATCACTCTTTCGTAAACATTTGATGTTTCCAATCCAATTCTGAAATCAGTGAACTGTTTCTTGGGTTACATTGCAGTTTCATTTTATGTGTTTTGATCTACGGAGGAGTTGCAATCATGGGCTATCTCATGTTTGGTGAAGCCACCTTGTCTCAGATTACACTAAACATGCCAAAAAACCAATTTTTTTCACAAGTGGCGCAATGGACAACGGTTAGTAAACAAAAGATCGGTTTCTTTCTCTCCATCATCTTTGGAAGTTCCATTTTACACTAAAACTCCATCTTGATTCTGTTTTATCTTCATCTTTTTTTCAGGTTGTGAATCCGTTTACGAAATACGCTCTCTTGATGAATCCACTTGCAAGGAGTATAGAAGAACTATTACCCGAAAGAATCTCAGAGAACATATGGTGCTTTATTCTTCTAAGAACAGCACTCGTCGCTTCTTCTGTTTGTTCTGCTTTCCTTCTCCCATTTTTTGGTAAGAACATTATGCTAGAAAGGTCGAGAACTCGCGTGCTTAATAGTCTCAAGACTCATATTTTGGTTTTTGTTGTTGCAAATTTGTTATTTTCCACACAGGTCTTGTGATGGCTCTGATAGGATCTCTTCTCAGTATACTTGTGGTTAGTTTTCATCATCTCTCCGCTTCTCTCCCTCTTTCCTTAATATCCTTTAAACACATTCTTGGATCAAAACTCAAAGTTCTTTTTCACAAATATTTGTATGGTTCAGGCAATAGTAATGCCAGCTTTATGCTTCATAAAGATCATGGGGAACAAAGCTACAAGAACACAGGTATATATATATATAAATTAAGCATTTTTAGTCTCCTCTTCCCAATTTCTTGAAAGTAATTTTGGGAATGATGAGTTTATATATTTGGATTCAATAGATTAACACTGACTTATGTTTGTGTTGTGTTTTTGCAGATGATTCTGAGTTCAATAATAGTGGCGATTGGGTTGGTAAGTGGGACTTTAGGGACATACTCGTCGGTTGCAAAGATCATTAGGAACTATTAATGAAGATGCCCCATAGCCTCTCCTTTTCTTTCTGTTGAATGTTTCTTTCTTGTTGATGAAGCTAATAAAATCTTGATCAAAGATTAATTTGGATTTTATAGTTAATAAAATTAGTGAAAGGTTTGCTTTCTCAAAGTTTGTCACGTTTGCTTTTGTATTTTTGTGTTTTTTTTTTTCATCTTTGTTAGCATCTTTCTTCTGTTTAGATTTGGGTGGGATTATTTTTAACTTTATATGCATCATAAAAATTATTAAAAAAGACAATTTTTTTACAACGGAAGTGGTTTGGGTTCCTCGATGTTGCCAATCAGGTGGCTGATACACTAGCTAAACAGATTAACCAATCTTTGATGTTTATGTCTTATTTCTATATCCCCCAAAGTATTGTAATAATGGCTCTGCACACTGATTTACTTCATCAATGAAATAAAATTACATGTGTTAAACAAACAAAAAAAAGACAAATTTTTGAAACGATTTTATTTTGTTGTCTCCAACACAGATTAGGATTATTAACTCATGGACAAAGAGATCAAAATTTTTGCGGTCCTTCAAAATTTTCAGTTCAAATTTTACAATAATATTAGTTCTATAAATATTTCTTGAAAATATCAAATTAAGTTTGAGTAATCGAACAATATTAAAATAGTTAAATCACATGAAAATATTTAGAGAATTTTTGAGAAATGCTATTTTCCAAATACCACTTTTCAAAAATACCACATTTTCAAAAATTTTGCAAAAAATACTATTTTTTAAAATTATTTATTTATTATGTCATTTATATTTGGATTAATTATGTTGTATTAGAGTCTAGTTTTGCGGGTTTAGAGGGTTTTAGAGGTCAAAATTTT